CAACTTCCGGTGAGACCGAGACCGAGGAGCGAGGAAATGAAAAATAAGAGAAGTGAAACGCAGCCCATATGGTTTTTAAAACACAGAATGGGATTATAATCATAAAACTCTGTTAAACATTAATAAACAATGGATAACTTAACTCTCATTTTCATCACATTACAAAAACTCGGGATTTCACTGATATTATAGTTGTTGTTTGGACATTTATTTACTGGATATGCGTCCAAAAACTACTTTTTCCCTTATGCCCCTGCTGAAAAAACCAGCATAGACCAGTTTAAGATGGTTTCTGGTTTTAACTGGTTTTAGCTGGTGTTAGGCTGGTTTAGTTAGTTTACCAGGCTGGACAAGCTGGCCAGGCTTGATCGATGGAGTTGGAGTTCAATATGATGCCAATATACAGGGCCGTCCCTCCCTACAGGCCGATCATGCAGACTGCGTGGGGCCTCACCTTGCGGAGGGTGCCTCAACCGAGCTGAAAATGCGGCGCACCTATGCGCTTATGCGCCGCAATTAGTGTGGCGCGGCACGGTCCCACTAGCACCCCCCCGTCCCCCGTCGACGCTCGCGAAACAGAGGGCCTCATCATATAACTTTGCGTGGGGCCTCATGTTGGCCAGGGACGGCTCTGCCAATATCAGTCAGTTCTGGACCCAATGGCTCGAACACTAGTTCTACCAAGGCATATTAGAGGTAAGAGTGGTAGGAGAGGAATGGAGTTATCTTTGTATTTAGGCTGCAAGTCGACAAAGGTGATCAAATGCTGATACTCAGGGCCGGTTTGTGGCATAGGGCGCCAGATCTGGGAGGGCAAAAAACATTTTTGACCGTTGGGGCTCATCCTAATTTTCGGCCTTGATGTAACAACATTCATAATTAAGTAAATGTAACACCCTTTTCACCCCGGTTACACTTTTCATTTGTCCTGTACGATGGGCGCTGTAAGTGATGAAAGTGGGGGATGTTGGCTTATCAGGCGCCCGCAGCTCACAGCCAAAGTGCGAGTGAGCGTGGGAGCGAGCGAGAGCGAGAGAGAGAGGGCGCACCGGTACTGGCGCTGTTGTTATTAGCATCTGGTGCTAGCTGCTCTCACGGATATAAGAAGAAGATGTTTCTACAACCAGGGTGGAGGAGAGCTCTGTCCAGTCAGACTGAGAGGCTGATAACTACAGCTCAGTGAGGTAAAGGACTCTCTGAGTGTTTAGATAGTTCACTTTAGTCTAAGTTATCTCACTGGGTCTCAAACGTTTTGATCACAATTTATGTAAACAAATATTTCCAAGGCACTCCTTTATAATTATTAGGATAAATAAAAACAGGTTTGAAATCATTCCAATGTATACTATAGACAGTAAACCAACAATATCGTTTAAAACTGGAGAGATAAAAAAATATGCATGAATAAATAAATGTTAACTAAGTAAAATAAGATATGAATGAACAACAACAATAAAATACGTTACATGTATTTGTTATTGGCTATGGTAGGTTATTGGTTATGTTCACATACTTATTTGATTATTAAAATGTAAACCGATCTTTTTCATATGGGTGTTTTAGAGTTGTACCCCCTAGATCTAGTCTCTAGTAATTGTGTGCTCAAAGTGCACCAGATTGAAGCAATTTACTTAAAAAAGTTCAAACATTTATTTCCGGGCGGGCATACCCCCGGACCCCCCTAGAGGATGTGACGTCCACCCCCGAATTCAAACATGTTCATACAAAACTGCCAGCTAAAATCTCGCCTAGGGATCAAATTGTCTAGAACCGGCCCTGCTGATACTAATAATGATCCGATTCATTTGATATTGATTGTCTGCCAATACCGAATCCTGATCCGATTCTTCTATTTCCCAGATAATACAGCTGCACCGTGTACACTAGCTCTATTTGTTTTTGCCATTGTAATTCCCCATAAGCAATTGTTGACTGTAACGTCTAGATGCCAACCGACTGTAATTTGTAATGTATTTTACCATATTTTAACGGTCAAGTTCTGGCAACCACAGCAGCCCAAATGTTAACGTAAATGTCAAGTTTTCTTTTTACAGTGTACTTATATCTGTACATTTCTTTTCAGTTTGCTTCAAGAAGTGGCTTCAACAGACAGAGATGCAGGACGCTACACAACGGGAAACATTATGGACATGAACTAGGAAAAACACTTTCTTTGTTGCCTTTTCTTATCATACATAGTGTTACTGTTTTTGTTACCATTTAAATATTGAATTATATTTATTACTTTTATTTTAAATCAAATGCACCTGTTTTAGATCATATATTTATTTTGATGTATAGGTTGATTTGTATAATTATTGTATTGTTACTGTGTATTTTATTATATTAACTAGCTATTTATTAAATTAAAATACTGTAATGAACACTATACAATGTCTTTATTTTGGTAGATACCAGAATACATGACACAATGAATCTTTGTAATATATTTATGTTCTCTGGTTTAAATAATCATACCAGTATTTAATAGGGATGGGAATTTGAAAGCAAATGTATATTCGAATATTCGACCCCCAAAAAAACGGTTAACCGATTAACCGAAATGTACATATCCTATAAAACATTTTTTAATTTTGAAAAATAAATGTTCAAATCAGTATAGAAACCAAGACGAATTTGACAAATGTATTGAACTGGTGATCACAGTTTGAACAGTTGACAGCTATAGGCCTACAGCTTTCATGCTTAAAACATAACTTGGTTTTTAAATGAAAGAGGGATCATACACGAACAACATAACGGGTTAGGGTAACGTAACCCTATCACAACAGAGATCAACAACCTGTAACAGGGCCTATGCACAGAATGCAGCTATTCAATACTCATTCTTGTTTAAGAATATGAGCATGTCTACTCAGGGGAGAGGCGGGTGCGGAGACGATTCACAATCAGGACAGCTGTAGAGAAGACCCTCTCAGCTGGAATTTGGGCATAAGATGAGGTTTGAGTCTGCGTGATCTGTGTGTAGGGAGGGGCAGCAGCCATATCATTAGCTAGAACTAGCTAGATCTGATGGATTTGGACATAAACGCGAGTGAAGTATAACCGAACGCGAGAGAGAGAGATCACCTGCAGCTGTGAGGGACTGGTGAGCGGAGCAAAACACACCTTTAGACCTAACACACTTAGCTATGGCACTGTCGTATACATTGAATTATTCCATTTGATCATGTGTAATCAATTTAGGCACCCCTCCCAAAAACAAAAATATTCATAACTCATATTCTCATATTCTCATACCTGAATCATTTAGAATATTCAATTAATCGTTCCCATCCCTAGTATTTAAACAATGTATGCTCGTCTCCTGGAATCCTGGTAAGCTTCCAGCATGGTATATTTAATACTATTATTAAACATAAGCTGGTGATCGATGGATGCTGGTGACAATACCAGTATTGGTATTTTTAGCTGGCCAGGATGGGTGGTTTAACCGGTGGCAACCAGCTAAACCAGCTAAACCAGCTAAACCGGCTAAACCAGCCATCCTGGCCAGCTAAAGTGTCCAAAACCCCTCTAAACCAGCCAACCATTCCAGCCTAAATATTATTCTGAAATGGACCAATCTGCACAATGACTTTAAGTATATTTTTAGACTAATACTTTTCAACTTGAGTAACATTTTGAATGCAGGACTTTTACTGTAACAGAGTATTCCTACACTCTGGTACTTCTATTTTTAGTTAAGTATACAACATCTGAGTAATTCTTCCTTCCCTGGATGAAAGAAAGATGACATAAAATACTACGTTCTGGTCGATTATTATATTTTAAGATGTTGAAAAATACAACATAAACACACAGCTGTGATAATCTGCATTATAATGGTTTTATTGAGTCAAATTAATTGTTTCGAAGTGTCAGGTTTATGCATTTTAACTGGGTGCATGGGCAAAGTCTAGATTAGTGACAACATTGAACTTTTGAGGAATAAATGAGACACCCATAAATAAATAGAGAGAAATTAAAAAGGTATTGCACTAAAGTCAAGACAATACGACGGGATAATTTAACTTCTTAAGCTCCTGTGCAGAAATTCATTTGCAGTGAAATGTCTCCACAGTAACAATCAGGCAGCCATTGTTACCAGATTTACTCGGGCACTTTGTAGGAGGGGGCTGCAGGTGGCTGTGACATGGACGAGTAAAGTTAAAGGCATCTGAACATGACGTGTGTGTGTGTGTGTGTGTGTGTGTGTGTGTGTGTGTGTGTGTGTGTGTGTGTGTGTGTGTGTGTGTGTGTGTGTGTGTGTGTGCGTGTGCATGTGTTTCTGTGCATGTGTTTCTGCGCGTGTGTTTCTGTGTGTGTGTGTTTCTGTGTGTGTGTTTCTGTGTATGTGTTTCTGTGTGTGTGTGTGTGTGTGTGTGTGTGTGTGCGTGTGTTTCTGTGCATGTGTTTCTGCGCGTGTGTTTCTGTGTGTGTGTGTTTCTGTGTGTGTGTTTCTGTGTATGTGTTTCTGTGTGTGTGTGTGTGTGTGTGTGTGTGTGTGTGTGTGTGTGTGTGTATGTGTTTCTGTGTGTGTGTGTGTTTCTGTGTGTGTGTGTTTATATGTGTGTGTTTCTCTGTATGTGTGTTTCTGTGGGTGCACTGTCAAGCTATGGTCACTTCTATTAAAATATATATAGACTGTTTGCACTACTTTTTATTTTACTTTGTATTTTACTTTGTATTTTATTATATAAGTTGCTTTGTTGGAGGAACTCAGGTCAGAATAATGTCATTGCCATTTCTACACTGTAGCTTTGTGCATGACAATAAAACCATTGAATCTTTTGAAAACTACAGGTTCATACTTTACTCATAACCTCTCAACATAATGAAATTCAATATGTGGATATGAAGGTTGAATCTATACAAAGAAAAGCATGCATTGAGTCAGATTTCCACCTATTTAATGAGCACACTGAGACATGCACACTCACAAAAATCACAACGTCAGGCTCCTCACACTTTATATTGACGTGAATGAAACCACTCACCTCCACCACTTCCACTCCATGGCCCCTGCAGGAAAGAGAGTGAAGTGTTTATATTTGAATGGAGGCGTTAACATAAGGATCATCTGATGTAAGACATGGCTGACAATGAGTGAGGTAAATGTCTAATGAAGTCATAAAAGTTGAACCCAGATTATCTCTGCTGTTGATAAAGAGTTGCACAACTGTGTACACTAGATTATATCGAGGGTGTAACAGCCACTCTTACTCATTCAACCTCAGATCTGTAGATCAAACAAATACAATTAAATCAATTCATGTAATTCACTTTACATAAAATATCAAAATTAACACAGTCAGTGCTAGACAGTGTATTCAGGGTGAAGAGAGCAGTGTTTTATTGAAGTTAAAATAAAGAACTAAAAGTACTTTCCACAAGGATCTATTACAACAAATATATGATATTATTTTATAATAATTATTAAAGCATTCATGTGTTTGTGTGTGTATACAGCCTAGCGTTTTAATTTCAACAAGGTATCAATAAAGTTGATCTTCACCTGTTATAAAACATGATTAATTATAAGTGGATTTATATTTTTGCATGTGTAAAAATGTGTATATTATAACATTAGTATTAATAAAGATGGTAATGATGAAAAACTACATTTTAAAGTGTAATAAAGAAAAAGAAAATATGTATAAATATGAAGATTAAAGCTACAATAAATATGTTAAAATATAGTATATTATAACAATTACAGTTGTGCATTAATACAGATTATTAATGATGACAACCAGATTATACAGTGTAATACAGCAACATAAAAACAACATTAAAAATGTGTAATAAGTACAAATGTGCAATAAGAAGATAGAATAAAATAGGATGCCAATATTTAAGTCAATATGTGCACATTGAACTGCAACATAACTATTCATATATGTAAAAATGTGTTTATTTTAACACTAAATATGTTAATGATTAAGACGAAATAAGAAGTTAAAGTAAAAATGTGAAATAAGAAGATAAAATAGAGTACAGATATGTATGCAACATAGGAGTAATAATATTAAAGATACTCATAATTAAAAACAGAAATGTACAATATAATGCTAAACAAAGGGGGCCCACTTCAACGTAAAAGAAAGCCTTGTTTACATTCATTTATAGAAATTAAGAAATTAACTTACGCACAGAAGTCTGCAAAAGCCTGCAGGTTGATCCTCCGGCGCTTCTTGTCGCTGAGGCAGAAACCGACCTTGCTGCTGCCCGACATCAGGCAGTGTGTGTGGGGGGCGAAGAGAGAGGAATGACCGCTCACACACACCGGGAGAGAGAGAGGGGGGAGAGAGTCTCTACCTGGCTCCTTCTCCATCTCAATCTCCACCCAACCCTCCCCTCAATATGTCTCCTGAGAAGTCTCTAAAATCTTCTGTGTCTTTTAAAAAGCGCGACTCCTGATTCATTTCTTACTACGTTAGAGAGAGAGAGAGAGAGAGAGAGAGAGAGAGAGAGAGAGAGAGAGAGAGAGAGAGAGAGAGAGAGAGAGAGAGAGAGAGAGAGAGAGAGAGAGAGAGAGAGAGAGAGAGAGTCTAACTGGTAAAGTCACTTGACTTCCTTATTGCTGCCATCCAATAATAATGAATGAGGCCAGTCATGCAGCTCCGCCTCAGAGAACAAACTCCGCACAATGGTTGATTAATTGATGTTCTATAAAAGACCAGATTTTTTTTTAAAGACACTATATATAAAGACTACATCCTGGTAGCTTGTGTATTTCAACAATGGATCAATACAGTTGATCTTAACCTGTAATATCACCTGCTCATTCATTTGTGGATTGTATTATAACATGAATCTGAATATTCAAAAGTTACCCAAAAAAACAATACACATTTTTTCGCGAAAGCTGGTTTAAAGTAGAAGTATAAAGGGGGAGGAAAATAAAATACTCAGTCAGTAAAGTACAAGTACCTCAAACTTGACTTCCTTATCGCTGCCATCCAATAATAATGATGAGGCCAGTCATGCAGCTGCACCACAGGGCCGTATAAAAGAAAGAGAAAGTAAAACAGATCCCTGACGTTTCTCCATTATTCTCCCGAAGCCGCCTCGTCATGCTGTTCCCTGCTAACTAACCGTCAAAAGGATCACATTTCTCGGTTATTTAGGAGGGTTTTAAAAGACATTTTCAGTGTTTAAAGTTCACCTGAGGTCACCTGGAGAGAAAACAGAAATGTCCCGAGGCTCAAACGCAGGATTTGACCGACACATCACCATCTTTTCCCCGGAGGGCCGCCTCTACCAAGTCGGTAAGAGAGACACTTTATATGGGGTTTTAGTCCATGAATATACTCCCTAATGCAGTAGGGAAGTTACTTTACTTTTACCATCTCACTGTGAGTTTAAAGAAGCAGTACTACTAGAATATGCATGACCGTTAAGTCTAGCTAAACAGGTTAGCATGTTGTGCAGTTAGCATCACATTTTGCACGTTGCAGGTGTTCTACTTGTTAGCATTTCCATGTGAAACCTGAAGATTTGTATTATTCTCTGTCATTTCAAAATACAATTCAACTCTTATGATTTAACAGGTTACATTTCTATGTTGACCTTCCGTTTGGTCATTGTTTGCAGTGTAGTAATGTAATTATGTTCAATTATGCTGTAGACTAGACTATTTACTAGGTCATGTGTTAATATTGTGCAGGTTGTCTCCTGTTAAACCTGAAGATTTTCATTATACTTTGTCATGATTTTAAAGTCAAATGTAACTCTTGATATGGTTTAACATGTTAGAGTAATGTATGTTGAAGTCATTAATGTTCATTTTGCAGTGGTGTGATGTAATTAAGTTCAATTATTGCAGTAGAATAGGCTATTTACTAAAGCTATGTCAATTGTATGCTTTTATTCCAATATGTCACATGTTCATATTGTGCTTTTCACTCACATTGATAACAGCTTTAGTTAGTAGTAATGTTTCAGATTAAGATAATTAGACAAAATCACAATAAAGTAGAAGTTGATAATGCTTTTGTACTTTTATGCAGGATAGGAGTATTTCTGCTTATTACTTTTCCTCAAGTAAAACATTGAGTAGTTCCTCTTCTGAAGTTAGTGTCCCAGAAATAGCTGCTTATAAATGCAATTTTTGGTAAAGGAACAAACATGCAGGTCTCCGCTGATAAACATGATGTCAAATATATTGAAAAAGAGATTATAGAGAGATTATTTTTGTATTTAACTCTCTCTGTGTTTTTGGTGCAGAATATGCCTTCAAAGCAGTTACTCAGAGCGGGCTGACGTCCGTGGGGGTCCGAGGGACTGACACCGCTGTGGTGGTCACACAGAAGAAAATACCTGTGAGACACACACACACACACACACACACACACACACACACACACACACACACACACACACACCTTCCCGACCAACCGACATCATGGCACATTAACAGGGTTTTGGCTCTGATCTGGTCACCCGACAACACACACACATTTCCTGTTTTACTTCGACCCGTTGCAACTTTTCACCCAGTTCTCCTCCAGTAAACATGTTAAACCTCCACCAGCCCCTCACAGTGAGCACCACATACCTTCCTACTGGTCTCTCATCACACACACACACACACACACACACACACACACACACACACACACACACACACACACACACACACACAGTCTTGAATAATGATATTATGAGTTTGAGTGAAACAGAAAGCCTTGCAGGAGTCGGGACTCTGGCTTTTTGCTGATTTGAGACTCAAATATAGAAAGTGCATAAAAATGCCAAATCTCCCATTACGAAGCCAGAGTCTACTTTTATTTTGAAATGACAAATAAAGCTGTATTTTGTCCACGCTGTAATTTTTCGTTGTCCAATCATCATAATCAGTGTGAATGAGACTTAAGTGAAATGTGATCACGATGTGTTTTTTGTAATTGCAGCATTGATATTATTTTCACATGCACAGTGACACATTGAGGTGTGTCAGCAGCACATACGTGTATAAGTTACTATTTCTATTTTATTTGTATTTACTTGCACATCTCAAAACATTCTCCTGCACTATTTTATCTGATTTGTTCTATGTCCTATATATATTCATGTTGCTCTGTTGCAGGAGCCTGTGACCTAAGATATCTATACTGACGCTACTGTGCATACTGTATGACAATAAAGCCTTGAATTGAAAATTATTATAAGTTCGCTTTCGCCCCCCCCCCCCCCGCCTGCAGGACAAGCTGCTGGACCCCGACACTGTGACCAACATCTTCAAACTGACCACTCGCATCGGCTGTGTGATGACCGGACAGGGAGGTGTGTTTCATTGTTCAAGAAACTCATTGATAACATGTCCAAGTACTGTGCTTTAATACAATGTTAAGGTACTTGTTTTACTTTACGAATTCAGATGATTAACTATTATATATTATTATAGGTTCAGATATCCAGCAGCAGTACATAGTTTTGTTTTAAACAGCCACACATTTACCAGCTTTAATGAACACATTCAAGCATCAATAATCATAATCCAACAACATGGTTAAAAAGTATAACAAGGGTTTTAACTTTATTAGATTCCCACCTTGAAATAACCGTATCAGAAATATTCTTAACAATACACACACACACACACACACACACATACTGTATAGAATATCAAAAAAAGTATACTAGTCCCAAACATCATTCCTGAGTAAAGTGTACTGTTTCTTAGTCGTGGCAACATTAGAGTTTAGAAACTGTTATTCTTACCCGTTTGTCTGTAAGGTTATATTCATTGTCTGTCTCCCCTCTCTTCTGCAGCGGACAGTCACTCCCAGGTCCACCGCGCTCGATTGGAGGCAGGAGAGTGGAAATATAAGTTTGGTTACGACATCCTGCCGGACATGTTGTGTCGCCGGATGGCTGAAATCTCTCAGGTCTACACACAGAACGCCGAGATGAGACCCCTAGGCTGCTGTGAGTGAGGGTCTTTAGTTCTGCCTCTTGGTGTTATTGATTCAATGAGATGGTATAGATCAGTGGTTCTCAACTGGTCCGGCCTGGGGACCCACTTTTTTACTTTGTCAATAAATCGCGACCCAACATTTTGAACCACTCAAATCTATTCAACAAAAATTCGTGCAGTAATATATATATACTTTTCAGCATACAATATTAATTAAAGTGAAGTACAGTGCATATATCCCTTCACAGAACTAAAGTATGCTTTTAAATAAGGTTTAATGAGATGATGGAATCAAAGCTGAACTTTATAAAAAGGCCCACGTGCTGAAAACCCAACCCCAGAAGGGGGGTCTGAGATGTTTAGAAATACTAACATATAAACTACACATTCTGGAACACTCTGAGAAGAAAATAAATAAATCTATTACTACCCGACATTTGGCATAACATATTAATAATATGTTGCTGCTCCACACAGAGAGAAGAGCAAAGAGGAGATAGTCTGTGTGACTTACTTTAAATTGTGTGTAGGGTAGATGGCCCCCATTGTTCTGTGACCTGTCAATCATCAAACCGGGGGTCATATTTCATCATGTGTTCATTTCTATCTGAAGTTGTACCCATGGATGTATAAAGAATAGTTCTACCGCAAAGTTATTCTCCGTGGGGACTTCCGGCAACAATCTTGATTCTGATTGGCCAGAAGACTCGAAAAAACATCAGCAAAGATGTTTTATTGAGAGGATGATCAATACGTGACAGAAGTTTTCAAAACCGTTTATGGTCTCCGGTACTTCCAGTCCAACGCCTACTGCATGCACAGCGTTAGAACATCGGGCCTTCAAAATAAAAGTTTGACTTTTTTCCCAAAAAGCAAACAAAAGAATTACATTTTTTCAGTTTTTTTCCTTCACTCACACATCCGAGACCCACTCGCCAGTTGAGAACCACTGGTATAGATATAGGTCAGGGGTGTCCAAACTTTTTTCACCGAGGGCCACATACAGAAAAATATACGAAGGGCTGGACCGCTCATTAGAGGTACATCGCCTCATAAGTTCAGTTATAAGTTAGAAAAATTAATCAAATGGAGGTAAATGATGCTTGATACTTGAAAATGCTTTATGAAAACAAACAGCCTACATCACAGCTCTCCAGAGGGTTTACTTAATTGTGTTAGCAGCTCATTCCTTAAAACAGAAGCTTCAGATTGATTATCATAAGAGGAAATATGAAGGGTAGATTTCAAGCTTGTTATGTAAATAAGTTATTAGGCTTTTTTCTTATCAACTTAGATTTGTTAGATTGTTTTCAACTTTACTTGACTGAATGCATTTGAAACATTTGGCTTATTAACTCATGAATACTGCGGTTTAATGTATGTTTACATATATAGTTAAGAAGTACAATATAAGACGAGCACAAGTTTCTTTTGTGGGCCATATTCCATTATACTTTTTGAATTTGCTGAGGGCCGATTAAAAATTGCCCGCGGGCCGCAATTCGCCCCCGGGCCGTAGTTTGGACACCCCTGATATAATAATACATTTTATTTTTAGGCGCCTTTCATGACACCCAAGGACACCGTACAATTTGTTAAAAAAAGAAAACGCTAATAGGCAACAGAACATGATAAAAACACAAACAGGAAATCATGGAGGAGACAATCAAGTGGACACAAATGTAACGTATAATGGGGAGCACTACAGTGAGTAGGCAGATTTGAACAGGTGGGATTTTAATTGGGATTTGAATATGGTGATTGTGTCTGACTGCCGGATGTGCGGGGGGGGGGAGTTCCAGAGTCTGGGAAGCAGTGCAGCTAAAACCCCGAGCTCCCATGGTGACGAGGCGTGGGGTGGGGGCGGTTAGCAGACCAGCAGAGGAGGAGCGGAGGGAGCGAGAGGGGGTGTACTCCTGAAGGTCAGCCAGATAGGAGGGTGGGGGGGGGGGTTATGTAGGGCTTTGTAAGTGGCCTTGGTGCCGGTGATGATCCGGGCTGCAGAGTTCTGTATGATTTGTAGTTTATTGATGAGCTTGGTATATATATATAAAACATGGAGTCATTTAAACATCATAAGCACATTCTTCCACTCACTGTTATCGCCCTGCCTCCCCAGGTATGATGTTGGTGGCTATAGACCCCCAGCAGGGTCCCGTCCTGTTTAAATGCGACCCGGCAGGATATTATTGCGGCTTCAAGGCCTCAGCCGTCGGGGCCAAACAGACGGAGGCCAACAGCTACCTGGAGAAGAAGATGAAGAAGAAGCCGGAGCTGACCCACGACCGGACCGTACAGGTAGAGAGGAACCGGGTTATTTCATATTTTTAATGTTACATCCAGGGAAGTATTGGAGTACAAATACTTCGTTACTGTACTAAAGTACATGTTTCTGGTATCAGTACTTTACTCCACTACTTATCTTTCTGACCACTTTTTACTTCTTCTACTTCTTTCATTTTGAACACAAATACCTGTACTTTCTACTTCTTTCATTTTGAACACAAATACCTGTACTTTCTACTTCTTACATGTTGAACACAAATACCTGTACTTTCTACTTCTTACATGTTGAACACAAATACCTGTACTTTCTACTTCTTACATGTTGAACACAAATACCTGTACTTTCTACTTCTTACATGTTGAACACAAATACCTGTACTTTCTACTTCTTTCATTTTGAACACAAATACCTGTACTTTCTACTTCTTACATTTTGAACACAAATACCTGTACTTTCTACTTCTTACATTTTGAACACAAATACCTGTACTTTCTACTTCTTACATTTTGAACACAAATACCTGAACTTTCTACTTCTTACATTTTGAACACAAATACCTGAACTTTCTACTTCTTACATTTTGAACACAAATATCTGTACTTTCTACTTCTTACATTTTGAACACAAATACCTGTACTTTCTACTTCTTACATGTTGAACACAAATACCTGTACTTTCTACTTCTTTCATTTTGAACACAAATACCTGTACTTTCTACTTCTTACATTTTGAACACAAATACCTGTACTTTCTACTTCTTACATGTTGAACCCAAATACCTGTACTTTCTACTTCTTACATGTTGAACACAAATACCTGTACTTTCTACTTCTTACATTTTGAACACAAATACCTGAACGTTCTACTTCTTACATTTTGAACACAAATACCTGTACTTTCTACTTCTTACATGTTGAACACAAATACCTGTACTTTCTACTTCTTACATTTTGAACACAAATACCTGTACTTTCTACTTCTTACATGTTGAACCCAAATACCTGTACTTTCTACTTCTTACATGTTGAACACAAATACCTGTACTTTCTACTTCTTACATTTTGAACACAAATACCTGAACGTTCTACTTCTTACATTTTGAACACAAATACCTGTACTTTCTACTTCTTACATGTTGAACACAAATACCTGTACTTTCTACTTCTTACATGTTGAACACAAATACCTGTACTTTCTACTTCTCACATTTTGAACCCAAATACCTGTACTTTCTACTTCTCACATTTTCCAAACAGGCTGGTTCCTTTAGTTTGAATGTGTGTTTGGTGGCGTGATCATTATTATTTAGAGTCATTGCGTGCCTATTGATTTGAACACGATCCGTGTATCCATCATTTCCTGGTCTTCTCTAAAGAAGAGGGACCAATGAAAACGTTGCCGTTGTTCAGCATGGAAACATTCATTAGCTAACAATGACATTATTGTTCTATTAATATAAAGGGAGGTCAGGTACTCTTTAAAACAGCTGCTAGTTATGGGTACTTTTTACTGAAGTACATTTCAAAGCCCTCTTTACTTTCACTTGAGTAAAGAAGTTTAGTCAGTACTTCTACTTTCACCAGAGTATTTTTAAACACGAGTATCTCTACTTCTACTTGAGTAAAGGATGTGAGTACTTTTGCCAGCTCTGGTTACATCACGGTGTCTCTGTCACTCACTTTACTCTCTCTCTGCAGATGGCCATCACATGTCTGTCCTCTGTCCTCTCCGTGGACTTCAGACCATCTGACCTGGAGATCGGCGTGGTCTCTAAAGAAAAACCAAAGTTCAGGTAACCTCAAACTAAAATCAGACCATTTTTGTTATCCTATTAAATAATCAAGAGCATGTGTGATCAATCTACACTGATATTAATAAAAAAAAAACTTTATTTTATAGGTTTATTGTTTCAACATCCTTTTCAAAAGCCAGCTAAATAAATTGGAAAATCCATAAATATTATTTTTTTTCTACATATAGTTTTTTTGACAGATTCATTTCTTTACATTTGGATGTGTATGACACTTAAAGGGGACCTATCATGCAAAATGCACGTTTTGATGTCTTTTATACATAACTATGTGTCCCCGGTGTGTCAGGGAACTCGCGCAGCGTCAGAAAATAAAACCCTCTCTTTTCCTCCGTACCCAAATCTCTAAAAACGGGGCTACAACGGAGCTGATCCAGATTTGCGTCCGATATGACGTAATATCTGAAATGTGGACCCACGGCCCTATCAGAAACGTTACTATCAGAAACAATGCCCGACTGTTTTGGACGTAATATGGTCAGTGTTTACATTAGCATCGCTAACACTCAGAGCTAACCTGTACTGGAGAGCATGTGTGTGAAGAAGCAGGAAATAAAAAGGAACTCACCTTGTGGTATAACCGGCAAGAGAGAAAGCCTTTGAGCTCCATACTGTTTCAGAAACAATCCTTGATAATCCATGATATGGCGTTTCATCACGGCAGTATTTAGTTTAGACAGTAGCTGCCGGGTCCCGCATGAGCTCAGCCCCCTACTTTTTAATTTTTTATCAATTATTTTTATTTTTGAAAGCTTTTTACCCAAAATCAGCACTTTTGAAACAGGAAGTGAAATAGAGGGATATGAGGCATGGCTAGAATGGGTGATCTGTTTGGTATTTTGAGCAAAACACTTCATAGACATGTCTTTTATATATTTGTATATATCTGAGACTTATGCTATTGCCTAAAAATAGCATGATAGGTGACAATTTAAATTGAACAAGATGAATCATCAGGTTTGAAAGACAACAGATGCATAGAAATAGGTAAACATAGGAAAGTACTTCTGTCACATAGTGACATCGCTACGTAAAACTCACGCTCCTATTGGCTAGCGCTCCAACACATTGTACGTGATAGGCTAGTATGAGAAAAATAAAGAGCTTTTTGAACATTAAAGCTTGGAGACATGTCCCAGTAGAGACATTACATACTGATATGAACCTGAAGATGAAACAATCTACTTTTTCTTGTTTTGATTGTAGTTCTTTTAAAGTAGGGTTTTTGATCTGGAGTACTTCACTCACCGATCAATCCTTTCCCTTCCTTTATTCTACCATTGTCTCCCCTCCTGTAGGTTGCTGTCGGAGGAAGAGATAGACGCTCACCTGGTGGCCATCGCAGACCGGGAGTAAAGGTGCTCTCAAAACAAACTTCAGACCGCCATCATAGTTCTTCATTTTCAGCGTGCTTGATTCATCCCAGTTTAGCAGCACTGTTAGCTAAACATGAAGTACACACCTGTGTCAAGGAAGGTAGATACAGCACGTCTGAAGGAGACCCTTTTTAAAGATGGATAAAGGTTTGATTTCTAGTGTTTCACCAGCGGTTCTTTTTCAATAACTTTTACCACCAATAATGCAATGTTGGGAATCTGTCAAACCATCAAACACAACTAACACATTTCTCCTCCATCTGTGCAACATATGTCCATTAATTTGAATGCAAAAAAATATAGTTATTTCATATATGTGACCCGCTCTATCGAAATCAGTCGGAAGTCGCAACGGCTCATTTAAAAATAAACGTGGATTTGCGTAAAAACATTGTTTTTCGGGGTTCGGGTGTTTTGTTTGATTTTAAATAAACAAAGTCTTGGCTTTCAGAATATGAAAATCACACGATAAATACATATTTGAAGCTTGTGAAGGGAAGATGACGGCTCTCACTCGCCACTCTGCTGTTCCGCAGCGCCGCCCCCCCTCCCTCCGGCTGACATTATGAATGTAAGGCGTATAGTAATCATAGATAACACGGCAGGGTCCGTTATAGTTTGTTTTCATCTGATTTCAATTAAACAAAGTCTTGGCTTTCAGAATATTAAACTTGTTTTGGCAAATTCAGATGATAAATACAACTAGGAAGCTTGTGACGGCATAATTACAAGCGGAGAACGGAGTAACTTGACGTCACAGCAGGCATAACAACAGCCGGTGTTTCTCGTGAGGGTTTTCCCCGGGAAACAAACACAATACGCACAATTACACAAACACACACACGTACACACACACACACACACTTGCAAGCTTCCCCCAGACCAGTAATCCAAACGAAAATATCTTCCCTCCGTACTACTTTGATCATTTGCTAATAATCAATCAGATCGATGGATTCCAGAGAAGAGGAAACTTTAAAGGCCTTTTTCTCAAAATGATGACAGTCGTTATATAATGTGACATATTTGTACAAAAACAATCCTGATATCATTAGAAAGCTAGGAATCTCCTCTTTCCAACAGTGTATACAACTCAAAATGTGTCTTCGGGTCAATGCGACTGATTTCGATGGAGCAGGTCATGAATATTATATTTGTCCTATAGCTTATTCAATATTGTATGTTTTTAACACCAATACTGTTGTCATTCCACATTTGTAAAGTTTCAATAAAAACAGACTTATTGTCAAACCCTTGAAATGACTCCAGTTAATACAGTTTTGAGTTTTTTAACCTAAACATTTGATCATTTCCTGTTACCCTGGTCAAAGAACACTCCCCTTGTTGACCAGCAGAGGGCATCAGTTCACTGTGTTACAGCGAAAACACAGGACTTTCATTAACACACCAAATACTGCGATAAATAATATTGTGGATTTGGAAAAGCAGTCGCTGATATGCACACTGGAAGAAAATAACAAATACTGTTGTAAGAAGTGAAATATGTATCTGTGTTTCGTTATTTTAGCAGCAATGATAGTAGTACAGTATTAATATTGTTTAAAAAAGAGCTGCACGTTATGAGGAAAATATGCGATTCAGTTGTTGATCAAAATACTACTTATAATTAAAAAAACAACCATATTTATATGTGCTAAGTTCTGCCTTTCTGCTGTCAGCATATTGCTAAAATACAAATTGAATACAAACAATTAAAGCGAACACTTACAAACATTTTTTTATTGAACTTTTTGAGCATTGAATTGAAAAGTAAAGGCATCCCAAACGAGACAAAAAAAAAAGTTACATTTTAAATGCAACTGTTACCGTCCCTCAACTAATTAAAAAATACTCCCAATATTGCTTGAATGCAGACTTACAGCACCATTACAGCCATTAAAGTTTAAATAACAACATATATTTCAATGTTATCATTTCACTTTTACATTTTAAAATAACACTCATTAACATCTCAGAAGCAAAACATATCTTTAAAAAACTGCAAAAAAACCTGTTAACAAAAATCAAATCAACTGAACTGCTTTAATTTTCATTTGCTACATTAAATATCTGCTTATATACACATCTTGAACTTTGTAAATAACTTCAAATAAGGCCTTTTCTTCACATGCATTCATTGTTTTGCCCCTCTATATGTGTTTATTAGATCCTTTTAAATTAGATTCAACTATATTCTTCCCTGACTGCAGCGGCAACATTTTACTAAAGTGGAGCATGCATTGGAAACAGCAATATGGCTTTTTCATGTAATTCTTGCATGCACAAATGATCATTTCGATTAATATTTGATTAATTGTGAGGCCCTATTTGATGTCACACTTCAATGCATGTGTCACATTGCTGTTCAGTACTTCAGAGGATCCTGAAGTACTCCATTCTTCCACTAGATGGCAATGTTGCGTCTCCCTCTCGTCCCTCACTGTGTTTCAGAACAGAACTCAGTGTGTACTCTTCTATTTGAGGAAACCTATTTTGACCGTGTAAACAATTATACTTACCAGTGTTGGAACATTGTGTGTGTGTGTATGTGTGTGTGTGTGCGTCAGACAGACAATCCTGGCATGACACCCTGTTATGTGTGTGTGTGTGTGTGTGTGTGTGTGTGTGCGTCAGACAGACAATCGTGGCATGACACCCTGTTGTGTGTGTGTGTGTGTGTGTGTGTGCGGGGGTGGTTGTACTTGTGTGTGTGTGTGCAGGTGGTTGTACTTGTGTGTGTGTGTGGGTGGTTGTGTGTGTGTGTGTGAGTTTCCACCAGTGACCCACCAATTTGTGGATGCGGATAAATGTCGTCTTCAATTACTGAATGTCACTTGCAATCTGAGTGTAGACGCATTTCTGGTTACACACATTTGTACATTTCAACACACACACACACACACACACACACACACACACACACACACACACACACACACACAATAAATAAGAGAGATCAGCAATTTGAGTCTGCTTATACTTTATTGAAAATATAAGGTGACATGTTTAAGGAAAATGCTTTGGTTTAACAGAATGTTGTTACTTTGAAAACACACATCATGACGAATACGCTTTATTTTACACAAAGAAACAGTTTTAATACACATTGTAGTTATTTAACAGCAACATTTAACCATTCTAACTTACCTGCAACTCATTGGTGATACATCATTGAGTGTGTGAGTGAAAGTGATGATCTGAAGGGAACTAAAAGCTGTGTTGAGTAAAGATTATAGTTGTGCATAGTGGAGCTTAAATTGAAAATGATCCCAGAATTAGAAGCTTCAGATTTGATTCAAAGAGGCCCCATTCTCCTTTTTGGTTTCTCCCTTTCCTGTAGTGTGTTATATAGATTTGTGTGCATGTAAATGGTCTGCAAAGGCTAAAATCCCTCTGTTCCCTTCTCATTTGTTTATTACGATAGTGACATCACTATGTAACACTTGCGCTTCTATTGGCTAGCGCTCCAACACATTGTACGTGATCGGCTAAAGCCCCGGACACACCAAGACGATTTTGGCCGTCGATGGATGTCAGGCCGACGATTAGCGTCCTGTCGCCCTACTCAGATTGGTGTGTCCCGCACCGTCGTGTCTTTTCGGCCGTGCCGACACCTTTTTGGCCGATTGAATCGGTAGGCAATCGGCCAAAGGCTGTCGGTCAAATAAATCACTCTGATTGGCTGTTCAGCTAGCGAATCAGTGCATGAGAAGCTAAACGGAAGTGAGGGACCCAAACAAACTATTAAGAAGGCAAATCTGAGATTTCATTTAACTCCAGCTCTCGACACAGGTTCGGGAAAGCCCCATGAGCTTCTCGTTGTAGAGTGAAAATGGAACGCACACGCTATTTGTTGTTTGTTTATATCACGTAGTCTGTTCTTCTTCTCTCGGTTATCACGCAGTGTCTCTTCCGGTTGTTGCCTCTTTTGAATGACGAATACACACTACCGCCGCCTGCTGGTAAGGAGAGTTATTGCCACTCACGCATGCGCAGTTCGTACGTGCTACTTGGCCGTCGGCTGAAGTCTTTGCGGTGTGTTCCAGTGCGACACATGGCCAAGACGCAGGAGACGTGAGGCGACACAACAGTCGGGTCCGTCTGTGTGAGGTCTTTGGTGTCAGCTTGGTGTGTCCCTACCTTAAGGGGCGGGACATCTCTAAGCGGTTGACCAATCACAACAGAGTCGGCCAGCTAACCTGAGCAGACTGGGCTCTGGTTTCAGACAGAGGGTGAAAAGAGGTGCTGCAGCACAGGCAGTATGAGAAAAATAAAGAGCTTTTTGAACATTAAAGCACGGAGACAAGTCCCAGACACACAATACAGATGTGAAACCCAAACATTACACACACGTTGTAATTCTGAAGGGTCCAATGCAGATAGATCACACATTTAAAAGGGAATTACGATCTTCATTCACAAAAAAAACCCTAATCTGTCACTCTGACTCCTTCCTGGCACTGAGGCTGGTTGAATAGTGGATGCTCAGTTTGTTTGCAGACACAATTAGGATTTATAGGCTGAGAGGCTTGCCTCAGTGATTCTCAACGAGAGCAGAAAACCCTCCGCTAGTCTCCTTAAAGCTACTACTGCAAGAGGCTCCTGAGGAACATTGATAGGCCTCTTAACTTAAGTCTCCTCTGCGTCCACTTAACCTCTCAGACGGGAGAACTTCAGAGCGTTGCACTGAAGCTCGATGCATTACCGCCAGGCAAATACAGATACTTTGATCATAGTATATTTGCAAAAGGCCTCAAGGAGAGACACATAAGGCAACGATAATCCTTTAGTCAAACACTGAGTACGCACTTTGAGTATGTGCATCTATAGACTTCTCCAACATTGACCAAAAGTTATTAGATGAACTCCTAATTTGCATGATTAAACATAGAATTTCAGAAAACTTGTAACACAAAAAGTGATTGTCTTAGTTTTCAACAGTTTGTTCCCCTGCTCACTAGCAGTGTCTTATATGTACTTTTACTATAAGTCACTTTAAAGGATGTTCTATCAAAATCCGTTTCCTTCTTAGCTATATTTTGAAAATGTTTAAAGATGGCTTTGTTCTTCAATTGTCAAATGACTGATTTATATGACATTTTAATCCTTGTAACAAAGTGAAATGTTATTGTTTTCTTTATCTTTTGACAATATTTTTTCTGATTTATGGTGTGATACAAATAAATAAACAAAATCCTCTATGTCAACAAAATTAAACAAGAATTTTGGACCTGGCTTTATCCAATGTCAAGATTTCTGTTCTGGAAACGTATGCAAATTACCACTTA